AAAGGAACTTTTTCTGGGATTCCTTTTAAAATTTGAGAAATTCTTGCCTTACTAATTGCTTCCGGCTGAGGTCAGTGAACCAGTTATAGTAGCGGACACCTTTAATCTCAGCACTTGGTCAGCCAGAACTACATGGAGAGATCCTACCTTAAAAAAAAAAAGTCAGTGGAATTACCATCTGAGGGCCCTATCCAAACTAAAAATGAAGAGGAAGCATCAAGGAAGGAACACTGCAAGCTGGAGTCTGCAGTATCCCAGGCACAGAAAAACAGCATAGAAGGGTAGTCTAGTGAAGGAAAGTTACCCGGGGGTCAGAGCTATTAGAGCCATAGCAAGAGTGTGGCGGTGGTGGCACACGCCTTTAATCCCATCTTTTAAGACCTGGGGGGCTGGCTGTACATACATACAGTGACGAGGCAGTCACGTGTTTGGGTTTACAACCAATAAGAAGGCAGAACAAAATACTATAAAAAGATGGACAGACAAAAGGATATAGCTCTTTTTCAGGAAGCAGGGACACTGCAGGAGGAAGGGTGAGATTTTAGCTCTGAGCTCTGACCTCTCGGCTTTCTCTTTTACATTGGTTCTTTGTTTCTTATTTAATAAGACTGTTGGTTACATCTACAGAACAGTATGTTAAATGTTTCCCATGATTGATTTTGTGAGTACGGACAGTTGCCTGCTTGTATGCACAACATGTGTATGCAGTGCCCACAGAGTTTGGAAGAGAGCATCAGTTCCCTGGAACTGGTGCTGGGAACTAAACCCGGGTCCTCTGCTACAGCAGCAAGTGCTCTTAACTGATGAGTAATCGCTCCAGCACCGATGTTTCCCATCTTTTGTTTTTCTGGTGCTGAGGATTAAACCTAGTGCTTCATGGGTGCTAGACAAACCTGAGGCATGTCCACAAAGTTTATTTTGAATAAATTGTCAAATATGCCAGGTGGTGGTGGCATACATCTTTAATCTCAGCACTCAGGAGGTGGAGGCAGGAGGATCTCTGAGTTCCAGGGCAGCCAGAGCAACACAGAAAAACCCTATTTAAAAACAATGTCAAATATGTCAGCCACCCAGATAATTCACATATTCATTGACATTGTTAATATCAGTCTTCTGTACTTTCTGGGGAAGGATGTTTTTTTCCAATAGGTATGTCAGGTATCAATTCATCTCCAGAATAACAACAACAAAAAAAATCATGTTGGGGTTTCAGTTGTACTTAATTGGAGCAGATGTAGTCTTTAGATATATAGAAAAATGTCATTCCCACCAAGTAGAAACCAGTCAACTGGGTAAAGTGGTGGTAGTGGGGCAGAAGAACTGGGAAATAAAAAAAGCCACACATGTTAGCACAAGGGACTTGAACTATAAAAGTAAAGGGGCCAGGTGAAAGTTTTCTGGTCCTTTAGTTAACCGGGTCCTGAGCTCTTCAGGAGGTTCTCTGTTTTTGAGTTCCTGGATGTGTGAGGGTCAGGATGCCGCTCTTGTACGGGTGTATGAGGTCATTTGATGGAGGTGGTTGTCATACTATACTGATGATGTAGAAGAGCGATCACAGGCTCTGTAGCCGGTCTCATTTGCTCATACCCATTTCCTTCCAGAGTCTGGTAGAAGTGGTAGTCTGATAGAAGTGGTGGTTGTGATTCCTTCAAAAGCTTACATCAGAGCCACACTCATCTTTGATTCTAGTACTCAGAAGGCAGAGGCATGCTGTGGGATGTTCTGTATGGCAAATGTGTTGCTCTAATTGGTTAGTAAATAAAACACTGATTGGCTAGTAGTCAAGAGGAAGTATAGGCGGGACAAGGAGGAGAAGAATTCTGGGAAGTGAAAGGCTGAGTGAGAGACACTGCCAACCGCCACCATGACAAGCCACATGTGAAGATGCCAGTAAGCCATGAGCCACATGGCACGTGGCAAGGTATAGATTTATAGAAATGGGTTAATTTAATATATAAGAACAGTTAGCAAGAAGCCTGCCACGGCCATACAATTTGTAAGCAATATAAGTCTCTGTGTTTACTTGGTTGGGTCTGAGCGGCTGTGGGACTGGCAGGTGAGACAGATTTGTCCTGACTATGGGCCAGGCAGAAAAACCAATCAACAGCAACAACAAACCCCAAACTTAACTGTGGTGGTTCTGCTTGAAACCCTAGTATTCGTGAGGCCAGGTAAGACGGATTTCACACAAGTTGAGGCCAGCCTGTGTACATTGTAAATTCCAGGTGAGCCAAGGGTTACATGTGAGACCTGTCTCAAAACATGCACACAAAAGCACCAACTACCACCCAAGTAAAGTGTTAGGTGCATAGTGTGAGGGAGAAAAGGCTTGAATATTTCAGAAAAGAGCACTGACGTGTTAGCCAGTTCTCCTAACTACCAAGAGGTCTGCTAGTGTTCCTCTTGGACATTCTAGAGGCACTAAAACAGTGCCAGACATAAACAGAGTGGGAAGAGATTTACATTTTTTCCTAAACACATTCTCTATCATTCTGTATGTACTTCAACTATCCTCCCCTTCTTTTCCTTCCTCCCCCTCCCTCCTCTTTCCTTTCCTTTCCTCTCCATTTCCTATTTCCTCCTCCCCCCCATCCTGTCTCTTTGTCTTTCTGTCTTTTTTTTTTTTTTTTTTTTTTT